TGGTGTAGGATGTCTGGTTGAAGACGGGGGCGTTGTCGTTGACATCCGAGATGTCCACGGTGAAGGTGTGGGTGCTTGTGAGAGGAGGGGACCCCGCGTCTGCTGCTGTCACGCTGAGGATGTGCTGAGCCGTGTCCTCCCGGTCCAGCGCCCTCACAGTCACCAGCTCGTAGTAATTCTTATAGGCTGGCCGCAGGGAGAAGAAGAGCTGATGCTCGAGGGCACAGGACACCTTGCCGTTGGCACCAGCATCGCGGTCCCTGACAGTAAAGAGGGCAACCACCGTGCCGGGCGCGGAGTTCTCGGCGAGGGGACTGCTGAAGGAACTGACCAGCAGCTCGGGTGCATTGTCATTCACATCCAACACCTCCACCAACACCTTGCAGATTGCCGAGAGCCCCCCACCATCTGTGGCCCTCAGGCTGAGCTCGTGGGTCTGTGCTGCCTCAAAGTCCAGAGGGTTTGAGAGTATAATTTCACCCGTTATAGAATCAATCTCGAATGCTGAGTTGCTCTGACCCATTCCTTCGCTAAAGTAATAAGAGATTTCCCCATTACTGCCAGTATCCTTGTCAGTTGCCAACACACTCAGAATCACAGAACCCTCTGGTGCGTTTTCTAACACCTGCACATCATACTCCTCCTGTGTGAAGACGGGTGAGTTGTCGTTTGCATCCAGAACTGTAATGTGAATTTGGGTGGTCCCACTCCTGGGAGGAGAGCCCCCATCCACAGCAATCACACTGAAATCCATCTCTGCCTGCTCCTCTCTGTCTAGGGGTTTTTCCAAAACAAGTTCAACATATTTCTTACCCCTAATCCCACTCTGATATGAGACGCTAAAGTACTCGTTCTCGGGAGCAATACTGTATGCCTGAACACTGTTGCTGCCAACATCAAAGTCCCGAGCTACCTCTAGAGGGAAACGAGAGCCCGGGTCGCTCGTTTCAGGGATTTTAAAAGTCACTTGTTCAGCAGGGAAAACCGGCGAATGATCATTGATATCCTCGACGGTGACCTCGACCCGAAAGAACTGCAGCGGGTCGGCCAGCAGCAGCTCGAAGGGGAGCGTGCAGATGTCGGCCTGGCCGCACAGCTGCTCCCGGTCCAGCCTGTCGGCCACGACGAGGCGGCCGCTGGCGCGGTCGAAGCGAAAATGCTGGCGGCCGTCCTCCGACACCAGGCGGGCGCGGCGAGCCGAGAGCTGCGCC